AGTCCTTGAATATTGGGCAGGTACCAGAGGATTGGGAATTGGCTAATGTTACATCTCTTTTCAAGGGAAGTGATAAAAATTGTCCTGGTAATTATAGGCCTATTAGTTTAACATCAGTTATGGGAAAGTTTTGGAAAGTCAGTTAAAAGATGCTTTGCAAAGTCATTTAACAAAGTTTAGATATTTATTGGACAGTCACCATGGTTTTACTGCAGGAAAATCTTGCCTTAGAAATCTTTCTACATTCTTTGAAAAGATTATTGTTTTATGTAGATGAGGGTAAGTGTGTAGATTTGGTGTATCTGGATTTTCAGAAAGCATTTTACAAGGTGCCACATAAAAGTCTTGTGAAAATCATTATCTCTATAGGTTTGGGGAATAAGTTAGCTAATTGGATAGAAGAATGGCTGGATGGAAGAAAGCATAGGGTTCTTGTAAATGGTGTTCAGTCAAACTGGATTGATGTTGCAAATGGGGTATTTCAGGGCTCACTCTTAAGACCTTTGCTCTTTTTGATTTACATCAGTGATAAAGATGAAGGAATGGTCAATAAATTACTTAAATTGGTAGATGATATTAAGGTCTTGGGTGTTGCTAGCTGTGAGGAGGATGCTGCTGCTTTACAAAAAAGATTTAGATCATTTAGTGAGTTGGGCAGATAAATGGCAAATGGGTTTTAATTATAATAAATTAATAAATGCAAGATAATGCATGTCAATTATCATAATTTGAATTATAATTATAACTTGGATGGGAATATAACCTTAACAGTGTTATGAATGAAATGGATCTTGATGATCAATCAAAGTTTGATCAATCTCTTAAGCCATCCAAGCAGTGTACTGTTGCTAATGGGAGGGCAAATAGGATTTTAGGTTGTGTCTATAATGAATAGAAGTCTAAAGAGGATATAATTTCATTGTATAGGTCACATTTGGATTATTGTGTTCAGTCTTGGGATCGTTACCTTAGGAAGGACATTGAATTGTTGGGAAGAGTTCAGAGGAAGGCTACTAATACGAGACCTGGAATGGAAAGGTTGTCATAAGAAGAAAGATTAAGATATCTGAAATTCTCTTGTAAAAGAAGAGTTAGAGGGGGATCTTATTTTCCATATTTAACAGTGAGAATAGTAGGACTAGGGGTCACAAATGTATATTTTGGCAGGGTAGGAGTCATCTTCAGCTAAGACAGTTTTATTTTTGTGATAGGTTGCCTTCAGATGTTGTGGAGGCAGCAAATTTAAGTGAGTTTAAGAGAAATCTTGATAAATATATGAATGATAATAGCTGGCTTTGAGAATTTTTTTTCTAATAGTTTTAGTTTAGGAGATGGGACAGCCTAGATGGACCAGTAGGTCTCTTGTTGTCCCTAGACATTATGTTATGTTAAATTATGTGTTAACCCTTTATCATGCATGGAAAGTTTTTTTTCCATTACTGTAATTGGTTTAAATGTATGGGTGGAGATGATGTCTAGCATGCATAAATATATGGGTGGCATTGATAAAGGATTAAGTACTGAAAATTATGGAGTTTGAGGATGTAATGTAAGAACAGTCTTTAGTGCATTTTATGGAATCAACCACTTTTTCTTTGACTAGTAAATGTTTTTGGCTTTTTAGAAGAGGTACCCACTATATCCACACAACTATTTAGAGATTGGCAATTAGTGAAATTTGATAGTCAATTAATCATCAGGCTCATTAAATGATTATGTTCAATTAATCCATTATTCTTACAGGAGACTTGGATAGTTGGAGTAATCAAAGATAGTAACAATCACAAACACTAATTTTGATTATTATTATTGTGAGTCATGACACTAATTAATTAAGCTGAACAACCATGAATTAATTGAAAATAATGAGAAATATTTGGACTCCTTGGATAGTTGGAATAATCGAAAAACACTGATTTCAATTAGTTGATTATTGTATTATATAGATATGAGAATTTCAACAATTTGGCTGCTGAATAGGTTCTAATATTTGGCAGAACAACTAAATAGACTGGAAACAAAATGGTTATTAAACATCCATTACTACCTTAGTTTCTGATTTTGAGGACAAATGGGATGATGTTATTAAAAATGATTGTGTTTGTTTTGATTGCCATAGATAGTAGTGATAGTTATGATTTTAAAACCTTTTTATAATAACTGTTGTCTTAAAAACTTGGTAAATTTTGTTCAGTGCTTTTTTGTTACTTAACAGCACTTATCATTCTGTAACATACATGAGTTTTTATTGAATAGTATAAGATTGATGGCTGTTTATTTATGGATTCAATACACAGCATAAAATCTAGTGTTAAGTGAGTTCAAGAACTCAAGAGTTTTAATATTCATTGAATAGGCTTAATGTGAGTGTAGAATGCTCTGTTATTATTTGTTTTGTTGGAGAAATTACTTGCCAAGGAGGGTGTGAAGGTTCAGGCCATTGTTATATCAAAACTTGATATGCGAGTTTTTTAAATTTAGGACTCATAACGTGTGAGCTTGGTATAATTCAGGAAATGTGATTTGTGAGTTTTGTACAATTAAATTACACTGTATTTCTTGTGAACACTGAGGTGAAAGATAGCTAGACAACAATATACTTAAGTCAGATTTTATTAATTGTTAAGATCTTTATGAATTTTAGATTTTTTGTTTAACTTGATTTATGTTCAAGTGTATCTGACAAAGTACATATATTTTTGCTTCCTTACATTAGGACAAAAATCAGATGTTGATAACTATAAAAAAGAAAACAAATCTATGAGGCTACCTTGTATTTTGTAGTATTGAAGACATTTTTTGGATTAAATACCACCATTAAATCTTTTGTCAGTAATTTCAGTTTAGTATTCTTACAGTTTTTTTTTGTGTGTTGTTTTTCAGATAAATCAGTGGTGAATGTGCTTTTGGATGGACAGCTTATGGCTACTCTGGATCCCATGTAAAGTCTTTGATAGTTGAATAATGCACTCAGTTGTCAATTTTGTTTCCATTACCACTTCCTTATCTCAAATCATATTGTGTATTATTAGGTTTTCTTAGTTTTTTATTATTAATATATAAAAAGTATTTTCTTTTAAATTTCAGTTTACAGTTGTTTTTAATCAATAATGTCAAAATTGACAGAACGGGATATTTGAGGTTGAGGTATATTTATTATTTTTAACAACTAAGAAAAATTATTATAATGGTTTCTTCACTATTTCTAAACTTGTATAATTTTACTTGTGATTCTTATTTTGTTGTAATAACTCCTACTTTTGACCAAATTACTTATTTTAATCTTGTAACAAATAAGCTAAAATAAGCTCATGGCCAATCTGCTAATGTCTTTTTCTTTCTCATTTTATAAAGTCAACTAAAGTATATTGCAATGGTTACTACTTGAGAATGATCTGCTAATTTTTTTCTGGTCTTGTCTAGTCAGCTAACATGTATTCCAAAACATACTTACTCTCCGCTATCACTTTAGCTATTCCTCAACGTTGGCTTTGCCTATCTAAACATTGGTCTTGCATGCTCAAGTCTTTTATACCCCACTAAAATGCCCTTGTTAATATCTAATTTGCAAATCTCTCTACCCACATTAGTGGGCCCTCTATCCTGACATTGAATATATGCACCTCACTCAGATAATGTAATCATTTTTTCTCGACAAAGCATTGGTCGTGTTTTATTCTGATGAAGTGCTGTGGCTCGTTCCATTATGGATTGCAACTTTCGTGTTGCTTTGTTATACTCCTGTATAATTTTAATTTCCTTTAATTAGAAAAAAAATTGGACGTGATGTTTGCGGGTATGAACTCCCATATTACTGTTGGCAACACAGCTGCTACTCCAATCTTCCATATTCCTCCTTTGTTATGTAGCATCTCTCTACGATCTTAGAGGGGGGTACTCTCAATTGAGGCTGTTCCTATTTTGATCTGTCTGGAGACGTAGACATCCATTCGATCCAATTGTTTTTTCTCTTCGGGCCTCTGAAGTTGCTTTTTGTTAATCCTGGTTATTCTGGGGAGAATTTGGACTTGGTTTTTCTGATGCTTTTCTTTACTAAGTTGGCTTCTCATGAACCCAGTTTGGATCACCCACCTCCTACTTCTTTTCTTCAATTACTCATTTGGGTTTCTGAGCTTAATAGACTCGGCCCTTAGTTTCAGGGCCACTCCATTTGGGCCGACTGATGCCAATGGGATTAGTATCAACCTAGGTGTGTGTGGGCTCAGTTAATGAGGTTACAACTATTGATGGACACCTGGTATTCCTTCTTTGCAGATGCATGGGTACATTAGGTTCTGGTATCGAAATAGGTCTTTCCATTCAATTTTCCACCTCCATTGTCCTTTCACCCTCTGGTATTTCCACCTCCACCTGGACAGTGGGGTGTGGATTTTGTTTCATGGCTATCAGGGTTTTTGATCACGGGGATGGTAGTGACAATTGATCCCATTCTTCTGGGATTTTATTCCTCTTTATTTGTTGTGCCAGAAACAAAGGGAGATTTGCAGATGATTGTCATTCTTTCTCATCTCAACTCATTCTTTTTTCCTTCCCAGTCCACAATGGAGTCCTTTTTCACCTTACGATGGCATTCTTCTACAGGTGCGTGGATGTCCATGTTTGAAGTTACTGAGGCATTTTTCCACATTCTCATAGTGAATTCATCTTACCTTTAACTACGTTTTGTATACAGGAATCAGGTTCTGCAGTTCAGGGATCTAGCCTTTGGTCGAGCGTCAGCACCATATGTCTTCTGCTGGGTTGCACAAGTTTTCACCATGTTTTATACCCAGCTCAGCTACCTCCCATACAGCTCCAGGCTATGAAATGGGCAGTCAGGCTCTTACTTACAGGGATGTTTCTATCTCTGGGATTGTGGGCTTCCCTGAAATATCTTGAATTTTTGGGGATGAGGACACATGCTATCCCTTTAGTGGTTCCATTGCAACTAATGGTTCTGGAACTCCAATCCAGTGGATTTTCCAGTCCCTTTCATCAGGAGCAACATCTTAGTTTTGTGTGGTGGTTGGTTAGGATCAACTCTATCATTAGTGTTGGGGGGGGGGGGAATAAAAATGAAAACGCCCCCTTTGAACACGGTTTTTCTTTCCCTGGATTCTCCCCCCAGGG